TGTTGTACCTTATGATTCTTGACTCTTGACGAGTGTATCTTTTATGTACACTGAGAGCATTTGCACCAAGACAAATCACACTTGGCCAATAAAGAATTCTACTCTACTCTACTCTACCCTATGACTATTATTAAGTATTGTACCTTATGATTATTGACGAGTGTATCTTTTATGTACACTGAGAGCATTTGCACCAAGACAAATTTCTTGTGTGTCCAATCACACTTGGCCAATTAAAGAATTCTAAAGAACTCTACTTCTACCATTTAGTCCCCAACACAGAAACCTAAAGCAACCATCCCGGCTTCTCTTCTTCTCTCCTGCAGAAAGAGGAGGAAAGGCTGCGAGCGTCCATCCGTAGGGAATCCCAGCAGAGAAGGATGCGCGAGAAACAACACCAGCGGGGCCTGAGCGCCAGTTACTTGGAGCCCGACCGCTACGACGAAGAAGAAGAAGGAGAAGAGGCCATCAGCCTGGCAGCCATCAAGAACAGATACAAAGGCGGGATACGAGGTATCCTTCCCCCACTCTCCTCCGGACTGGTCCCAGCCCACCACTCCCAGTCTCTAAGCCAGTCTGGCTAGTCCAGTGCCGAGAGAGAGGTGCCAAGTTGGGGGGAGCCTTGAGCTTATCTCAGGGGCTGCCCTCACTCCGTCACCTGTCCTCTTCCTTGTCAGCCCATTCGCTTTTCTGCAAACATTGCAGCTGGGTCGGTGTTACGCTTCAGTGTGTACCTTCTGTTGTGTTCTCTTCGCACCGTGTATTTGCTTTCCCTTGTTCTTTCTCCTTTTCTGCACCGCGCAGCGTTTTGCTTGTGCAAATAAGCATATCGGTATCGTTCTTCGCATTTTCCACGCTGGGTTGCATAGAGCGAGAGGGGCCTGTCATTGCTTATTCCAACCCGGTTTTTAATGTCCAGTTTCTAAGCTGCATCTTAAGGTTTTGTTTTCCAGCCTGGACTTCGGCGTATCATGAGTTGTTTTCTCTTCCAGAGGAGCGCGCTCGAATTTATTCTTCAGACAGTGACGATGGTTCGGATGAGGAGAAAGCCCAGAGGTTGCTCAAGGCGAAGAAGCTCAACAGTGATGAGGTGAGAGAATCCAGATGAAGCTGGACATCAGTTGATAAGCCGGTCCGTAACTCTCATCTTTCTGGGTTGAGGTACAGCGAAACTGCCATTTAAAGGACAATCTTGAGGTGTCTCACCAAATTTGAATCCAGTCACCCCTGAAATATAACAAGCAAGTATGCTGTTTTTCAAAGTCTTTGTGGCAGACATGATATTCTTCCGATTAAAATCGGAATTCCGATTTTTTGGGGAATCGCCCCCCCCTTCCCCCCCCTCTCCTCCTCCTTCCCCTCCCCTCGGAGGCCCCGAGTCAGGAGTTGCTACCGCTGGCGCAGCTCTGCGTGGCTCCAGTTCCGCGTTGCCTCAGGAAGGGAAAGGCAAAAAGGAAGAGCCGTGGCGGCGCTTTGCAACGGCAGCAGCGGCTCCTGGTTTTGCCTTTCCCTTCCCAGGGCAACGCGGGACTGGAGCCGCGCCGGCGGTAGCAACTCCTGACAGCCCCAGCCGGATACCTGAGCGGAGCCCGAGCGGGCGGGCGGTGCGAGCGGAGGCCGCTGAGCGGCAGGAAAAGGGAGCTGGGCAGCGATTTCTTGGCGCACGGTGGGGGGGGTCTCTTTTGGCCGGCCCCGATTTTTTTTTCAGAGGGGAATATCATGCCTGTTGTGGATGGCCAAGCTAATTTACATCATTTAGATGGGTGGGGAACGAAGGCCCTTTTATGACTTGTGGACTTCAACTCCCAGAATTCCTGAGCCAGGAATTTTGGGAATTGAAGTCCACAAGTCATAAAGGGGGCCGTAGTTCCATTCCCCACCTCTGATTTAGATCAACCCGTATCATTGATTAAATAATAATAATAAAGGCCATAAACAAATAAATATGTGTACAAGTAGTCCTTGACTTATAACCAGTCCTTTAGGGAGCATTCAGAGTTACGACATACCTTCCCAGGGCTACTTACGATCTGGATTCAAAGTTCAGATAGACAAGACAGACAGACACATACACACACACACACACTGCAGTCACATAATGGCATTTTGGGTGCTCAGAAACTAGCTCGCATTTTCAGCCGTATGCACTATCCTGTGGTCATAAGTGCGATTTATAGTGGTTTTTTTTAAAAAAAAAAACAGCATTTACTTCCGATTTCCAACCAAAAATACCCATGGCAGACATTGGATTTACTTGCCAAGCGTCTGAATTTTGATCAAATGAGCATGGGGATTAGCCAAGGTCGTAACTGTAAAAAAAATGGTCATAAGTCGCTTTTTTCAGTGCCATTGTTAACTTTGAATGGTCACTCAATGAACTGTTCCAAGTCGAGGATTTCCTGTATAGAAAACCTGTCCCAAGAATAACAAAAAAATCCATTTCAGCAAAGCAGTATAAATCCAGAGCTGGACAGCAGCCCCGTGGCCTAGAGGTGAAGATGTTGGCTTCCCAGTCGGAAGGTTGAGAGTTCAATCCTAGGCAGCAGGCAGACGTTTCTCCGTCAGGACGCAAAGAGAAAATACGTGCTGCGAACTCCCCTTAGGCATCAGGAAGGGCATCCGGCCAGTAAATGCTCAGCTCCATTCAGTCACCCCGATTCCACCCAAAATAAAGGGATTACAGGGTCATAAAAAAGAAAATACAAACCCAGAGCTGGAAGTGATATCAAAGGCCACCCACGTCTATTCCCCGCCGTTGCAGAAATCCGTCATCAAAACTCTCTTTCTTGATAGCCAATCAGTCTCTGTTTTAAAAAAAAAAAAAAAAAACTTGCAGTGGTGGGATTATGGTTGGGGCGGGGGCAGTTGATAAGCAGGAAAATTCTCAGCAATGTTGTGGGGTTTTATTTATTCTGCCCTGAAATGAACTCCTAATAACAGATAATGGAAAGCTTGTTTTTTTCCTCTTTTTCAAGCTAACAAGCTGTTCAGTTTGAGTGTTATTCAGCTTTACCACAAAGTGGCGCTTCAGCATTAAATAAAAAAAACCACAGCACTTGTGACACAACTATGGTGGCATGCCCAGACATTTGCATTTTTTAAAAAATAAGAGCATCCTTTTAATCATATAAGTCATCATTAGTTGCCTAAAAATAATTTAGAGAAGGATTGCTTTGGGAGACTGGTTACAGTGGGAGAACCTTTGAATTTTTCAAGATATGCGTAAAGAATCTAGGGGAAAAATGTATTGACCTGGAAGGCAACCATCTGTATTAAGATGTATCACATGTATTTGGGAAAATAGGGGAGAAACTCAGCCCCAGCTCAATATGCAAAGTTACTGTCATTATTTCAGAATTTATATCTACTTAAAGCTATAAGGAGTTAATAAAACTAACCTCCAAGTTATTTCACCCTGACCTAAGGGAATAGAATAGAATTAGAATTAGAATAGGGATCCCCAAACTTGACAACTTTAAGACTTGTCTTAAAGTTGACAAGTTTGGAGACCTCTGGAATAGAGAGTAGGGTAGGGTAGGGTAGGGTAGAGTAGAATAGAATAGAATAGAATAGAATAGAATAGAATAGAATAGAATAGAATAGAATAGAATAGAATTCCTTATTGGCCGAGTGTGATTGGACAGGGAATTTCTCTTGGTGCAAATACTCTCAGTATACATAGAAGAAAAGATACATTCATCAAGAGTCAAGAATCATAAGGTACAACACTTAATGATAGTCATAGGGTACAAATAAGCAATCAAATCATACTAGGAAACGGTCAATATAAATCGTAAGGATACAAGCGACAAAGTTACAGCCATACAGTCACAAGTGGGAGGGGATGGGTGATAAGGAGTGATGAGAAGATTAACAGTGCAGACATTGTAAATAGTTGGACAGTGTTGAGTGCCTTGTATCTGATATATATATATATTTTTAATTTCAGGAGGGTGAGTCTTCCGGTAAGAGAAAAGCCGAAGATGACGAGAAGGTCAGCAAGAAACAGAAGAAATACGTGATCAGCGATGATGAAGATGAAGATGTGTAAAGGGCATGGACTCTGAACTTGGGTGATAGTTGTTGTTTTTTAAAAAAAACACCATAGAGATATATATTGTTCTTTTTCCGACCATGTGTAAGTAGATTTCGTGAAGATTGGGGTGGGAGCAACACTTGCATTAATAATATTAATGTAAATAAAACTTTTTGTGGGTTGTTTTTTTTTTAATGTCACAGGATTCAGTGTGTATGTGCGGTGAACATTTTTAGGCCTGTGTGTCTTTCGTTGTCTAGGATTAGCATTCTATGGGCAGGCTCCATTACGACTGCACGTCGAGAACCAGCTGCCCCCAGAAAAACTTGAGATGTTTTGACATTCTGTTCACCTTCCTTGGGCAAGAACGGGGTACCTGCGGCTCTCCAGCTTCTGTCAGCTCCAGGAAGGGGATGATGGAGCATTAAAAAAAAAAAAACTGATCGGAGTTTGAGGATCGTCGGAAGGATGGGAGAAAGGGAAGGCATCAATCAATCATTTAGCGGTGTTCCAATATCTCAGGGGCTGCCCCAAAGGAGAGGGAGTCAAGCTATTCTTCAAAGCACCTGAGAGCAGGACAAGAAGCAACGGGTGGAAACTAATCAAGGAGAGAAGCAATTTAGAACTAAGGAGAAATTCCCTGACAGTGAGAACAATTAACCAGTGGAACAACTTGCCTCCAGAAGTTGTGAATAGCAATAGTACTTAGACTTATATATTGCTTCACAGTGCTTTCCAGCCCTCTCTTAAGTGGTGTACAGAGTCAGCCTCTTGCCCCCAACAGTTTGGGTCCTCATTTTACCCACCTTGGAAGGATGGAAGACCGTGTCCACCTTGAGCTTGTCAGGAATCAAACTCCTGGCAATATGAGCAGAGTTAGCCTGCAATACTGCATTAACCACTAGGAAGGAAGGAAAGGAAAGGAAAGAAGGAAGGACAAGCACTTAGACTTACATACCACTTTACAGTGCTTTAAAGCCCTCTCTAAGCGGTGTACAGAGTCAGCCTCTTGCCCCCAACACAATCTGGGTCCTCATTTTACCCACCTTGGAAGGACGAAAGGCTGAGTCAACCTTGAGCCTGGTGGGATTCGATCTGCCAAATTGCAGTAGGAGTAGCTTGCAGTACTGCACTCTAACCGCTGCGCCACCAAGGCTCTCTGAATGCTCCAACACTGGAAGTTTTTAAGAAGAGATTAGGTAACCCTTTGTCTGAAGTGGTGTAGGGATTCCTGCCTAGGCAGGGGGTTAGACTAGAAGACCTCCAAGGTCCCTTCCAATTCCTATTTCATTGGAATGGTGTAAAGCAGGAGTGTCCAACCTTGGCAACTTTAAGACTTGTGGACTTCAACTCCCAGAATTCTTTGCTGGCTGAGGAATTCTGGAAGTTGAAGTCCACAAGTCTTAAAAGTTGCCAAGGTTGGACACCCCTGGTGTAAAGTGTCCTGCCTTGAGAAGAGGATTGGACTAGAAGATCTCTGAAGTCCCTTTTTGACCTATGATTGTGTGTTCTGTGTTCTAACTAGCAGGGAAGGGACAATGGGTCCCCTTAGCTTTCTTCAGAAAGCATCCTCGAATGTCTGACCATGAAGAATCCTATGCAATGCTAAGCCATCTCCTTGCTCTCCCCCCCGTATTAAGCCACTAGCTAGATACTCGTGCTTTGCTACGGCATCGGCCTGATTAACGTACAGGATATCGGATGCGTACTTTTTTTACAGCCTCTCTGTTGACTTAGGGATGACCTTGACGATACTTTTCCGCAGGTTCCCTTACTTGTGTTTTCCTAATCGCAATCTGTAAATCTTTTCCTGTGTCCCCCCCCCCCCTTTAACTGGTGTTAGAGTAGAAGGCACAAATTCGTCTGAACTGAGGAGGTCAGTGTAAGAAATGAGTTTGGGCTGGGACGCTATGCAGGAAAAAATTCGGTTCGCAATCCATTGGCTCTGTGGTGGTCGGTGATTGAAACTCGTAAGGGAATATCGCTTTCGCCACCATAAGTTCCGAAATGGTTCCATAGGGCAGGCATGATATTTTTCCAAT